CTTTGAGGGGAAAAGGTAGATAAACTAGATCATCTGTCTGTCTGATTTGAAAACTGCATTTAGCTTTATGAAATAAACATGTTTGTTTTTTCTCCTAATGAAGATTCACTTAAAGAGGTTATGACAATAGTGAAGAAAAGGAGAATGGGGAAGAAAAAGGCAAAGCACACATTCCTGACTCTAACAAAGAAGAAGTGGAAGAACGCTTTCTTCCTGTTGACAGCGTTAGCACCAATAGAAACCACAACAGAACCTCCATGTAGGTCCACAGAAGGTTACAAGTAAACTCATCACCGCAGTTGGTAGCAAGGAAATACTATGCAGGTTGAGAACAAAAAACCAAGGTAAGAATAGAAGTCAGTAAGGATGTGACACCTCCCTACCATGACATGGGAAAGGACAGTCTAGCAATTCCTTTACAATTCAGGAAACACGACATCTACCACATGTACAGACTTAAGCATTAAAGACTCATGAGAATTTGGGGTAAAGTACACTTCTGTGAAGATTTTCAATCTGAGGCCAGGTACCTTGATTCTCTTAAATCTTGCCCAAAGACAGACATCTCAAAGAAAGATGATCACCTTTCCTATTAATACCATGCTCCTGGCAGTCCAGCCTGTTCTTAGAGAGAAATGCTCCTGGCACAGCCAGCCCAAAGGACACATCACCCACCTGTTCTTCTCTGACAGACCTCGCCACACGGGCTTTTGCTACAGTTCCAAGTGCACGTGTGTCATTCCCCTCACTAAAGTGACTGTCTTCTCCAGAGCATGCAGCACACAGCATTTTCCACTCAGCAAGTGCTAGCTGAATTAAATCACACTTGGTCTCTGGGCCTTGGTTTCTTCATTTAGAAAATGATGCTGGAAATACCTTTTGAGCCCTTTCCACAGAGGTCTCATAAAGCTCCAACAAACCAAGGAGATGAAAACAATTCTGGAAGATGGAAAGGGCCACATCAGTTTAAGGGGCCATCTTGCAGGTGGGCACCATACTCACTGCAATGGATGAAGTTATACAAACAACACAGACACAGTTGGGCTTAAAAGACTCTTGCTCAAAATTCAGAGGAATCAGGCAGTGCACAAAGATTTAAGGAAAATTTGTGTCATGAGTAGTCTGGGATTCTGATTCAAAGAGGCAAGCATGGTCCCCAGATGCTCCCAAAATGGAAGTTTCACAGAAGATATACCTGCCTGACTTACCCATCAAAGGATCCCCAAGGCTGGGAACATTCCTATTTGATGAATGGGTAAATCAGAAACAGAAATGAAAGAACCCCCAGAGCTCCAGACTTCAACCAGGAGGGAGTCTAAGGGGCCAGGCTGGCCTAGGAGACCCAGACTGACCAGCCTCCAGCCTGAAGTCCTTCAGAAAGTCTACTTTAAACCCTTTCCTTCAACCCTTCGAAAAGGTCTCACCATGGTGCAGGGAAGTAAGCACAGCCCTGGCAACTCAATAGGCAAACAAATCCCAATTCTACCCTGGGCTCTGCACCTCACTCACTGGATGGCCTCTCCTTAAAATGTGGTTAGCAGAACCTGCTTTGCAAGGCTGATGCAGAGATTAAAGGTGATAATACAGGTAACTCACTAAGCACAATGCTGGGACAGAGTAAGCACCGAACAATAAATCATCAGTCCCTTTTGTCTTTCGAGCAAAGGAGGAACCCAAGTTAGGCTAGATGATACGAAATCCTCCCCAACTCAGATCTTTAGTCCTGGAGCAGAGACAGAGCCAAATTTCCCTTTAGCTGGGTTAGAAATGGGACAACCTATCAAGACAAACACTGGGAATTACTGGCCCCCTGATAAAGACCTGCTACATAACCATCCATCCCATTTTCCCAAAACTACAACCAAAGTCATCCGAGTGCTAGTGCTCCATCCCTTAATGCAACCATGAGCAAAGCAAATATTCCTAACACCCAGCTGGACGCAGGATTTGACTACAAGAATAAAGAAGACTCCAGCACATCCAGAATAAGATTTTGGTGTTGTGTTAGAGTCTTTGCGAGGAGAAAAAAAATCCCAGAGGTAATGCTTTCAGGTTCAGGCCTTTTGTTGACACAGGTAAGAAACTGGAAGAAACAGAGGCATTTGAGTTGATACTCAAAGAATGAACTCCTTCATACCCTCTAAACTGTTTGCTGAGAAATCAGCAGTGCTATTAGCAGCCGCACAAATGACAGGACACACCACTGACTTCCTGTGCGCCCCGGTGACCTCTACACAGCAGCGCTTGGGCACACTCCATATTTACTCAGTGTGCAGTCTGGTCCTGACTACAGTGAGTTATTTCACAAGCCTTTTAAGGGTTACCACATTTTGTTCCTGTAAGAGGCCAGTCCAAATTACCAACAAAAGAAGAGTTAAACACAAGAAAAACCACCTCTTTGGGCTCAAGAAAGGCAGTCCTGGGCTTAAAAAGGTTTCTTTTGCAAAAATCAGTCCAGTAAGTAGTCTCAAGCTCCTGAAGATGAGGAGTGACAAAATGACGTGCCCATATACTAAAAGTGCAAGTTGCCTAGACTTTGGTTCTGTGCCATGTCTCACAGGAATTATTCTAGATATCAATAGCTACATAACAAATTACCCCGAAATTCAGCATCTTAAAATGGACATTTTATTTCAATTTTTCTCCCTGACTTTGTTTTTCAGACTAGATCATTTCTACTGATACATCTTAAAGTGTACTGGCTCTTTCTTCAGGTTAAGCACATTCGGTAATTTTTAAAATTTTTAGATACTCTATTTTTTAGTTCTAGAATTTCCATTTGGTTCTCTGAAGTTTCTCTTTCTCTGCTGAGATGCCCTATCTTTTCACCCCTATGAAGCGTATTCCCTTTACATCTTTGGGCATGGTTACATTTGCTGCCTTAAAATCCTTGTCTGCTAAACCCAGTATCTGTGTCTTCTCACTCACAGTCGGTCTCCACTGATGAGCTTTTCAACTGAGAACAGATCACATTTTCCTGTATATCAAGTAATTTTAAACTGTATCCTGGACATTGCACAATACATTATGTTGTAGCAATTCTGGATTCTATTATGTTCCTCTAAAGAGTGTTCATATTTAGGCCAGGCGTAGTGGCTTACTCCTATAATCCCAGTACTTTGGGAGGCCAAGGAAGGTGGATCACCTGAGGTCAAGAATTTGAGACCATCCTGGCTAACATGGTGAAACCCTGTCTCTACTAAAAATACAACAAATTAGCCGGGTATGGTGGCACACACCAATGGTCCCATCTACTCAGAAGGCTGAGGCAGGAGAATCGCTTGACCTCAAGAGGCGGAGGTTACAGTGAGTGAAGATCATGCCACTGCACTCCAGCCTGGACAATAGAGCAAGACTCCACCTCAAAAAAAAAAAAGGTGTTGATATTTTTCTTTTAGAAGGCAGTTATCAATGATCTACAGTGTAAGGTGGACTCGCACTATAAACTCTAGGGTAGGTGCTCTAAATCTTAATATGATTACTTCATCCTTAGTTTAGCTGCTTGCAGCTGCCCTACACGTGTGAATCAGACATTAGCAGAAATTCAGGTGGTTGATTCAAAGTTTGGGTTTGTTTTCTACTTTCCACAATTCCCCCCTCACTTTCCAATGCTATGGTTGCCCTCAAACTGTTCTTTGATTCTTCAAGCCAGAAAGAAAGACTGAAGATTTTGTAACTGACTTTTCACTGCCCTGATGCCATACACTGTGTCATTCCCTTCTTCTGGTGTCAACCGCATTCCAGAATCTGCCCATTTGTGTCAAATTTGAGTGTCTTCACACGGCTGTTTTTTGTCCAAAGTTTACAATTGCTATTTGCAGAAGAATCAGACCAACAGTAACTGACTGGGCTAGTGACATAAACAGGACCTATACATCACCTTTCTTTTTTTCCCATTTTTCACTTTTTCTCACAATACTATGAGTCCTGAATTCAGAAAGGTTTTTGCCCAGTAGGGGCGGGGCCCTGATCCATGTGGCATCAGCTGGGCAAGTAAGAAACTGAGGCTGGATCTACTCCCAAGATGGTTTCTCATGCACATCTCGCGCCTTGGCGTTCCTTGACTAGGCTTTTCCTCTCTCCTCGTTGTATCTTATCTTCCAGCCTTTCCCATGTGTATTCAGCAACTCACAGCAAGGTCATCTCAGGGAATCTATACTCCTCACGTGGTGACCAGCTTCTAAGAAGCCAGAAATAGAATCAGCTAGACCAGTTAAGGGCTATGCTAGAAACTGTATAGGATCACGTGTTTGACTGCTCACAGCAGCCACAGATTCAAGGGGATGGACAAATAGATGCCGACCCTTGAAAGGGCAGGGGCAAAGTCATACTGCAGAAACACACGTAAAATGCAAGACGTTCTGCCATCATCGTAAACAAGTATAATCTGGTACAAATTTAATTAATATTTAACTAAGCAAATCAAATGTCACCCAAAGTAAAACTGCGGAAAAATACGGGAAGATGAGATCCATCTGAAGCATGTGGTCCAACTGCCCTGCGATCTTTCTTACCATTCTCTCACATTCTCGATATAATTACCTTTCAGTTCATCCACACATAAGAGATTTCTAAAAGCGGCCTACTGGGTCCTCAAAGACTTCATACTTAAATACTATATTCCTTTTATATCCATTTTAAAACACCTAGAAGAAAAGGCTTATGATGCTACCACCCATAAACATAGGCTACAGATATAAGTTTTATTTTTTCTTAAGGTAACAGGCAATAATAACTAGTGTTTATTAAATATCTACTATGTGTTAGAAATCTGTGTAGGCTACAAAGAGCCTATATATTAATATATATGTATATATACATACATACATACGTGTTTGTGTGCGTGTGCGTGTGTGTGTGTGTACATAAAAAATATATCTCTCTCTCCAAGCTACTTTCTAAGCACCTCAGGCTTTCACTCCAAAAGAGTGCATGTCTTCCAAAGACTAAATCCTAAATGAAGCCATGGATGTGAAATACATACTAAGCAATCGTCTTACCTTGTCTTGGTTATCTTTATTCTTGTAACACAGATTTCCAATCAGACGAATGAGATGAGACTTAAACCCGTCGGCCACATTGGAGATGTCACCTTCTGCTCTCACGCAACCACAGGTACTGAAAACGTTTGTGGTTTCTTTTGCAGCTACATGAATCATCCGTAAAAGATCTATAACCAAAAGAGTAAACTCATTTCCATAGAAAAGTAACTCTTAGTATTTTGTACTACTAGTTTTCTATAAACAAATTAATTTATTTTACTAGATTAAAGATAGAGCACAGAAAGCTATCTTTAAACAATGATTCAAAGGCTCTTCTGCCTTTGCTTTAAATTTTTTTACTCTAGTTTTAGAGACATAAGCCATAATGACTGTCCCAACTCAGACTTTCTTTTTATCTACAAAGAAAAGTTAGCCAAAAATTTGCTAGCATCCTTCTTACAAAAAGGTTTCCAATCTCAACTTCTTTATGGAAGAACTCTGCTACTAACTTTAGTCAGTGAGTCTAAAACACAGTATCTGTCCATAATGACGCATATGATAGAAACCAAGAACGCTTGTTCTTCCCCCTCATCCGATCGGCCAAATCATCAATCAGAAGGCAGCATGTGTCCGACACACTTCACTTCAGCTACATTCAGGAGAAACAACTTGCCACTGCTGCCCTCTTGAGCACCTCCCGGCAGCCAATGAAAACAGACAATCTTTCAGGAACTGTATTTCAGTGTTTCCACATTATCTCATTTAACCCTCTCAACAAACCTATACAGGAAGGTATCGCTTTCCCAATTTTAAAATGAAGAAAAGAGGCTCAGAAAAGTCAGTACTTGGCAGAGTTGGGATGGCAACACACATTGACCCTGGCTCCAAACTCAGGCTCTTTCCATAATCACTCGGTGTCCCGGGCTCCTAGTGTTGTATTTGAATTGTCACTAAAAGCACTGTACTCAAAATACAACACTGAGGATCTTCCTCTACAGCTCACTGCTAGCTCGTCTACAGTGCTAGACAGAAAGCCGTCTTTCTCAGTATACTGGTCTCCAGAGTGAGTATCATCTCTTTAAGGGAAACAGTGAGCGATGAATAGCAAACCTACAAGGAACAGGTTCTGCTTGAATTACTTTGCAAACAGCTTTTTAGCAAAGGTGGTAATACTTTTAAGAATGGCTTCTTGTTGAAACCATTTTCTCATAAGATTTTTATATATAATATGTATACAACATCATTCTACATGTTCACTAAATGTAAATGGGAAAAATTTACTGCCACATTTTGCAAAGCTATAGTAATATAAAACGACCATCATCATCGCAAACCTCCCCTGCCCCTCCATCTTCATCACATCCTATACTGATGAAATGTCTACTATGCGCGTAACAGGCACTGCTATCCTCATGTTACTGAGGAGGAATCTTCAGTTAAACAGAAGAGAAAGGGCTGAACAACAATGTGGGCTCAGGTTTATCTGGCCCCACCCGAACTGTTACAACACTGTGATTCCTCAAAATACTATATTCACAAAATTCCCAAAAGTACACTGAAAATTCAGGATTTGTGTTTGAATTTACATTACAGTACGACAAGCCAAAGATTTCTTAGCTAAAAATACAATGTGTGATATTTCACTCACCAATCACTCTTTCCAGCAAGCCAGGGAAAACCTGCAGATAGCCAAGCAGCTCGGTGTTCGCAGTCATTTCGCACAGGACGTCGAGAAGCCTAATCGTAGCCAGTGCCTCCTAGAAAGAAAAGAAAACATAACTTTTAAGCATATTTGAAGTGAAATGATCTGTTATAAATAACAGTAAGAGAATATTTCAATACATTTAAAGTGTCAGTGCTTGTACTAAGTCTAGAGAAAGAAACAAAACTATGAAGAACAAAACCGAAGTATGAAATATGTACACGACTCATCATTTTCACTAACAGCAGACATCTGCCATCAAGAATGCAAGATTATGTGTCATTATGTGTCTTCTTGGAGCAAAGAGTCAGAAAAGTTCTTATTCAAGCAAAAAGACATTCCAACAGTGGAATAAATGTTCAAAATTACTAGCTACATACATAACATTTATGCAAATACTTTCTTTTTAAAGCATTCCCAGCGTGCAAGTTCCACTTTAAAGATACAAATATCCCATGAAATACATTAATTTCTTGTCCACAGAAATCCTGTAAAATGCTGTGGCTGAAAAGACTCCGGCTTTAAGAACTTACATAATCTCTGGGTAAATATGAACTTCTATGCAGTACCTCGGTAGATGAGAAGGCAGAGTTATTTGAAAACATTACTTCACACAGCTGCACACTGCATGACCAAGAAACTGCCTAGTCCCAACTGCACAGCGTTAGTCTTCATCAAAACTATAAATGTAACTTCTGTATGGATTGTGGAACCCATTTTATTTTATTTATGTCGCTCAGGCTGGAGTGCAGTGGCACAATTTCGGCTCACTGCACCCTCCGCCTCCCGGGTTTAAACAATCCTCTGCCTCAGACTTCCGAGTAGCTGGGATTACAGGTGCCCGCCACTATGCCCGGCTAATTTTTGTATATTTAATAGAGACGGGGTTTCACCATGTTGGCCAGGCTGGTCTTGAACTCCTGACCTCAGGTGATCCACCTGCCTCAGCCTCCCAAAGTGCCGGGATTACAGGCATGAGCCACCACGCCCAGCCTGAAGCCCATTTATAAAGTACCTATTCATTGACAAAATGTGGCAGAGATTATAAAGTTAGTCCATAAAGATAACGTTCTTCACTTTGGGAGGCCAAGGCCAGGGGATCACTTGAGGTCAAGAGTTCGAGATCAGCCAGCCTGGCCAACATGGTGAAATCCTGTCTCTACTAAAAGAACATAAAAATTAGCCAGGCGTGGTAGCAGGACACCTGTAATCCCAGCTACTAGGGAGGCTGAGGCAGGAGAATCATTTCAACCCAGAAGGTAAAGGTTGCAGTGAGCCAAGATTATACCACTGTACTCTCTAGCCTGGGCAACAGAGCAAGACTGTCTCAAAAAAAAAAAAAAAAAAAGATAACATTCTTCAAAAGAAAGATAAATTACTTCCTTGTTAATTGTAAATGTGTATTTACTGTTTTCTAATTAGGAGACTTAAAGGTAATAGTTAATATAGTATTCTGAAATCTCAAAATAAATAGCAAGAAACCACACATTTTTGATGTCTTGGATCTTTAATTTTATATCATAGCCTTCTTTAAAGAAGAGTTTAAGAGTTAAGGAGGGAAAATCTCGAAGTCTAAAGTTAGTACCATGTTAAAACCAGTCTTGAGTAAATCCATCAATTTCACAAGGTTTCAACATCCTCTTTTGTAAAAGGTGTGGCTGCCCAGATTGTTATCTTGAGATACCACTGTTCCTTCAAGAAGAGACCTGAAGCAAAGCATGCACCAGGAAACCCTGGGTATCCTGTCATAGCGGGTAACAAAGAAGCTATTACAGGCTACTAGGGTCATGTCGGAAGAGATCAGAAACAACTCGATGAGGCTCACACTGGACAGCAATGGCACATTAAACATCAGAAACAATCACAACAGCAACAGACTGAAAGCAAAGCAAGTTGTTTTGAAGCTATGGCTTCATAATGAAAATAAAAGAAAACAAACCAACTTGCTGGTCATCTCCGGATGATGCCACAAAACCAACTCCTTACTCTGAAGACTGGTAATCGAGGGGAGAAACAAGCACTTCTCCTGCCTTTCTTCATCCAGTGTACCTCACAGAACCCAAGAATTTACTAGGGAAAGTTTCTCTTTAAAAAATATTCCTGCGAATGAACAATAACATTAAAATACCACCATTTTCCAACACCTAAAGAATTCACGGATCCAGGTAATTAACAACTGCAATAACCAAGCCTCGGGTGTTTCTTGATGAAAGTAGGTATCACCAACAATGAAACATCACTGCAAAAACGAACCAAAAAAAATAACCCAAATCTGAATATGCCTCTGGAACTAACTTTCATTCATAGGAAATGCAAGGTAAAGAAGAATACATTAAGTGCCACCCTGGGGACATACTCATCAAAATGTGAAATCTAGAAAAGTCTACAGGAAAAACCACCTGGTTTCTCCAACAAATAAGTAGCAAAAAGGAAAAAAGGGGGAAAGGGAAACCTACACACTAGAGTGAAGTTAGGTCAATCAGCTGCAACATACGGCCCCTTATCCATATGCTGTTTCAACAAAATAAACTTGAAAATGATTATTAGATGATGGGGAAAATCTGAATACTACTTAATTAATAATTCATGCTGTTATGAGTTATTTTAGATGTGCTCACAGAATTACACTTGTGTCTGAAGACTCCTTATCATTTAGAGTAACCAATGAAATACACTGGAGCTTTGGTTCAGTCCACAGCAATTGGCTTACGAATGAGTGGAACTGTGGTGGAAAAAAGAATGGTGATGAGCGGGAAGCTGCTGATGGCATATGGAGTTTAAGTACACTTTCTTCTTAGTCTGTGTTTGAAATTTCCACGTTAAAATGACAGAAATAAAATTAGAGGTTGGAAGAGATTAACTGGAAGTTTCCTTCCAGCTCTTAAATTCTATGATATTAACTAAAATAAACCTAATAGAAAATTAATCTATCCTCACCTAACACATCCCCAATTTCAATCATTAAAATCCTTTTATTTATAAAGTGTTTTTAATGAGCATCTGGAAATTAGTAATGGAAGAACAGCCAGAAAAAATTACTCTTAAAAAATAAGATTAGGGCCGGGCGCGGTGGCTCAAGCCTGTAATCCCAGCACTTTGAGACGCCGAGGCGGGTGAATCACGAGGTCAAGAGATCGAGACCATCCTGGTCAACATGGTGAAACCCTGTCTCTACTAAAGATACAAAAACTTAGCTGGGCATGGTGGCGTGTGCCTGTAATCCCAGCTACTCAGGAGGCTGAGGCAGGAGAATTGCCTGAACCCAGGAGGCGGAGGTTGCAGTGAGCTGATCTCGCCATTGCACTCCAGCCTGGGTAACAAGAGCAAAACTCCGTCTCAAAAAAAAAAAAAAGATTAATGAGTAAACTCCCCTTCCAGATATTTAAAAGTCTTATGAAACTATATTATTAAATGAGGCACTAGAGGGAAAAAAAAAAAAAAAAAAAGCAAATGAAGAGAACATTGTGAAAGATTCTGAAGTGAGCAAAAGAAAAAAAAAGATTAGTCTCCTGTCTAGCTCACCTGTCTCAGTTAACACTGCCACGTAGTATCTTTGAATAATTTTACAGCTTTGTAAGTTACAGAAAACTTATAATAATACAGAATTATTCCTGCCCATTAAAATGCAAATTAGTTCTATCTGCCTGGACTGCAGCTGTTTTCTGCATAGATGAGTTTTTGCATTTACTTCTATGTTCATTTCAGTGTTCCTTCATTGCACATAAACACATACCTCCCGGAACTCTCCCTTCTCCAGCTGTTAACATCTTACTGGTTCCTTCCAACTTATTTGGAGAGAACCAGTAATTGATCCAAATAAATAGAAGAATTTAGGACATGATGTAGGTGGGTGAGAGAGCCTCGAGCCCAGGAGCTGGAGAACACAGTGACCTGTGATTGTACCACTACACTCCAGCCTGGGCAACAGGGCAAGACCCTGTCTCAATTCAAAAAAAAAAAATCAGTGGAAAGGGTAGGTTTATTCACTAAATGGTACTGAAACAATCACAAACAGATAACATTTAGGGAACATTAACTAGGTACCAATCAGCATATTAAACACTTATACTAAAATACAACCCAGCTGGTCACAGTGGCACATGCGTATAGTCCTAGCACTCTGGAAGGCCGAGGAAGGTGGATGACCCAAGGTCAGGAGTTTGAGACCGGCCTGGCCAACACGGCGAAACCCATCTCTACTAAAAATACAAAAATTAGCCAGGCACGGTGTGGGGACTTGTAATCCCAGCTACTTGGGAGGCTGAGGCAGGATGATCACTTGAACCCAGGAGATGGAGGCTGCAGTGAGCTGAGCCAGTGCCACTGCATTCCAGCCTGGGCAACACAGCAAGACTATATCTCAAAAGAAAAATAATAATAATAATACAACCCATTTTAAGAAAAAGGAGGGCAGAGAGAGAATGAGTAACTTTTCCAAGATCATACACCTGTTAAAGAAGCAATCAAGACTCAAACTCAGTCTCACACGAAAGATTTTATAATTTTGGATAGTCAAAAGACATAAATAATTCATTTAGATCCATAACTCACTCTTTACTCAAAAATACATTCTAGATAAATAAAAACTGTGGACTAAGTACTGAAAGAACTAGACTCTGGAGGTGTATATTTCTACAATCAAAGAGGAGAATTTACCAACAAGAAAAGTCTTCTTGGCTGTCAGCTGTCAAAAAAAAAAAGAAAGAAAAGAAAAATCCAGAGGCCAGAAGGATAAAATTGATAAGCTTAACTAGATTAAACACGAAATAAAAACAACTAAAAGACTAAGAGAACATCAGAAATAAATTCAAACAAAAATTAACTACATTAAAAAAGTTTACTATACGTGTGACAGAAAGATTAATTTCCAGAAAATGCTTTTTAATAAATGCATTTTAAAAGGTAACCTGATATGCAAAACAAACATAATGGTCAATGAAAAACATTAACGAGCAATAGTAATGAAATCAGATGTGCAAAGGGTAGCTCATGCAGTCCTGTGTTGCACTTGTACAACTTAGAAACCTCTGAAGTTCTTAAATACGCATCATTCTTTGACATAGCAGTTCCACTCCAGGAGTTTATAATCTCAGATTTACTTGTCCAAAATTTGTACAAGGATGTTCACTATAACATTATTTGTAAAGGTTAAAAGAAAAAAAAGAAAGCAACGTGGAAGCAACTGAAGTGTGTACAGGGAACAAATGAAAAAGATGATGATGCATCTATAAAGCTAAACATTTTCAACTATTAAAAACATACAGTGAATACATGTTAAAGTGCAAAGATGTACAAGTTATATCATAAGTGAAAACAGCAAGTTGAAGAATAGTGTAAAAAATGGAAACAGAAAACATGTAAGTGTGTATACACAAAAAAGACCTTTGAAAAGAAAACAAAAAAAGGATATGCAGATAGATTTGTAGAAAACAAACGAAGGCTGGGGAAAAAGCAGGAAACTCTGTAACTTTTTTTTTCCCCTTGAGACAGAGTCCCACTCTGGCGCCCAGGCTGAAGTGCAATGGCATGATCTCGGCTCACTGCAACATCCACCTCCCAGGTTCAAACAAGTCTCCTAGCCTCCCGAGTAGCTAGGATTACAGATGCCTGTCACCACTCCTGGCTAATTTTTGTATTTTTAGTAGAGATGGAGTTTTACCATGCTGGTCAGGCTGGTCTCGAACTCCTGACCTCAGGTAATCTGCCACCTCGGCCTCCCAAAGTGCTGGGATTACAGGCATGAGCCACCACACCCAGCTGAAACTTTGTAACTTTACGTTTCACTGACTTCAGCTTCAATAATTTTTAAGAACAAAGCAAATATTATTTGCATAATACCAAAATTCAAGCCCTTCACATGTGGGAAAATCCCAGTATTACAGAATTTGTATTAAATATGTACTGAACACCTACTGCATAACAGATACTACAGTATGGCCTAAATTGGGGTTGCAAAAATTAAAACAGAACGCAAATCCCACAACCTGAGGACAATTCTTGTAATATACGGGTATCAGAAAATACAAAGCTAAAAAGAATGTTTTTTAAGCTTTCAGAGAAAAGGCAAGGCTTGCTACAAGTGAACAAGATTCAGAACTGACAAAAATATATCAAAAACTGGAAACAAGTACACAAAATGTATCAAAGGACAGGCATAAGTCCATTAACAGGAGAACCCAAAACTATTTTTTTTTTTTTTTTTTTTTTTTTTTTTTTTTTGAGACGGAGTTTCGCTCTTGTTACCCAGGCTGGAGTGCAATGGCGCGATCTCGGCTCACCACAACCTCCGCCTCCTGGGTTCAGGCAATTCTCCTGCCTCAGCCTCCTGGCATTACAGGCATGTGCCACCGTGCCCAGCTAATTTTTTGTATTTTTAGTAGACACAGGGTTTCACCATGTTGACCACGATGGTCTGGATCTCTTGACCTCATGATCTACCCACCTCAGCCTCCCAAAGTGCTGGGATTACAGGCTTGAGCCACCGCGCCCGCCCAAAACTATTTTTATAAAGAAACACACGAAGAAGACCTTGGGATTTTAAAACAAAACAATTACATAAATTAAACAAAACACAAAACATCCTATAAATACAACCATTTCCATTCTCACTTTTCAGTGACAGCACTGATAACTTTACTGAGTATCTACCTTGTTCTAAAAAGCTCACAAATAGGTAAATGCAGTGGTTTGGCAGGAGATGGCTGGGGAGGACGCGGCAGGTAGAAAGCCGTGATCTGCAGCATTTGCTGGTTTCCATGGCAGAACTACTTCCACCATGGATGATTTCAAGGTAGCAACAATTTAACGATCAGCTCACAAATTTCTAAGCACTTAAGAATCAACTCTTAGAAGTCAGCACAGGCCAGCTCCAGTATAACACTTGATTATTATCTGGCACATTTAAATACTGGCAGAAGGGTCCTCTTTAAAAAAATATATATATATATTTATGTAATTTGTTCTTAAAAGTTACTGTAGATATGTCATATATATATATATATGACATATCTACAGTAATTTGCGCAAGTCATAAATGTACAGCTCAATAAACTTCCAAAAGCAAATTAATTTGGCTTTAAAAAAGAAAACTGCCTACGATTTTTTTTTTTTTTGAGACAGGGTCTCATTCTTCCCCAGGCTGGAGTGCAGTACTGCGATCACAGCTCACTGCAGCCTCAACTTTCTGGGCTCAGACAAGCCTCCTACCTCAGCCTCCCCAGTAGCTAGGCGCACACCAGCACGCCCATCTAACTCTTTGTTTTTTGTACAGATGGAGTCTCCTTATGTTACCAGGCTGGTCTCCAACTCCTGGGCTTAAGCAATCCTCACAGGCCTTGGCGTCCCAAAGTACTGGGATTACGGGTGTGAGCCACTGTTCCCAGTCTACAATTTTTTATTACATTAATATATAAAAATACTTCCCAGCTTAGAGAAAAAAATGTCTGAAGAAAATATATAAATTTTCCTAAATATGAAAGGCTAATCCAGGAATTTCTCACTACAATACTGAAAATCACCTGTACTTTAAACGGAGGTGCCTTGAAAAGTTTAAAGATGTGATCTGCCTTTTCTGTCTCCTAGAGAACTGATAAAACTTTTCTTAAGCAGGACTTACTGCTCCTCCTGCTGGATACAAAGGCAAGTCTATCTCCAGAAAGTAAATGCAAGCCCCTGAATAAAGACCTTTCTTTCCTATCACAGAAAATGAGAACTAAAGTAACAGCATGATTATTAAGACCTAACATGGTCAACATGACAAAGCACAGAAAATCAACAGCAAAATCATCTTGAACAAAAGTATATTCACAAAAAAGGAAATATATTCTTGTGGCCAAGCAGCCATAACCATGAGCTGCACTTACAAAAGTAGTTACCAGTTTCACAGTATTACACATCACTCTCCAGGAAACACTATGGATCATATTCTCCACCTTCCCGCCTGTGGACAGTGAATGAGTATCCACTCTGTATTCCAATCCCTTTCCTCCAGTCTCATCCATTTGCCAACAGTGATTCCAGCATCAATCACTCCCTTCAGCACACAAAGGAACTCTCTATCATCTTTCATTAAAATGTGTTTAAATCAGCTTTACTGAGGTATAATATACATATAATGAAATACATCCAACTTAAGTATACTGTACAGAGTTGTGTCAAGGTATACAGTTATGTGTCACATTCTACTATCCAGAAAGTTCCCTCATGTCCCTCTGCAATCAATTCCACTCCTTCATTTCCAGACCCAGGTGACATCTCCTCTGTTTCCTATCATGACCAATACGTCTGGCCTGCCACCGAACCCAGAGAAATAGAAACAGCATGTTCTCCAGTCTGTCTGGCTTCTCTCCCTCAGCACTTCTGAGATTCTCCCCTGTTGTTGTATCACAAGTGCATCCCTTTTTATGGCTGAGTGGTCCAGAGAAAGAACAATTCTAACTTTATGACAGAAGAAAGGGAGAACAGATAAAAATGGAAAGTTCTGAGGGAAAGAGAATTAACATAAGCTCACTTCCACGTCCTAAGTAAAACAAGACCCGAATGATCTAAGGCAGGCATAAGAAGAAAAAAAAATAGTTTAAATAATTAACCAGGACAGTACACAACTAGGAATCTCCTATAAAGGAAAGAAGCAGCAAACTGTCTAGAAAGCGGTCTGGAAGTATGTAACAAGAGCTTTAAACATGTGATATCCTTATACATAGCAATTTCACTTCTAAGATTATGTCCTAGGATAATAGCTGTGGAACTGTGCAAAGATGTAACTATAAAAACATACACTACAGTACTATCTAAAATAAGTAGAAATAAGAACAACCAAGGCCAGACCTGGTAGCTCATGCCAGTAAGCTCAGCACTCTGGGAGGCCAAGGCAGGCAGATCACGTGAAGTCATAAGTTCAAGACCAGCCTGGCCAATATGGTGAAACCTCATCTCTACTAAAAATACAAAAATTAGCTGGGCATGGTAGTACACAACTGTAATCCCAGCTATTTGGGTGGTCAAGACAGGAGAAATGATTGAACCCAGGAAGCGAAGGCTACAGTGAGTTGAGATTGTGCCACTGTACTCCAGCCTGGGTGACAGAACGAAACTCTGTCTCAAAAAACAACCGAAATATCCAGCTACAGGGATATGGACAAATAAACAGGAAATTCTTTATTTGAAATGTTACGTTGGCTTTCTTTTTTTTTTTTTTTTAGAGAAGGGTCTCACTCCGTCACCAGGGCTGGAGTGCAGTGGGGCAATCATGGCTCATTGTGGCCTCAACCTCCTGGGCTCAATTGACCGCCCCCCCCATCTCAGCCTCCCAAGTAGCTGGGTCTATAGCCATGTGCCACTATGCCCAGTTAATTTTTGTGTTTTTTGCAGAAATGGGGTTTTACCATGTTGCCCAGGATGATCTAGAATTCCTAGACTCAAGCGATCTTCCTGCCTTGGCCTCCCAAAGAAGTGGAGTTAAATGTGTGAGCCACCATGCCCAAACTGTGCTGGCATTTTCAAAAGACATTTACAATGTATTATTTACTCATTCAGCAAATACTAAGTGCCTGTCGTATACACAGTACTATGAACAAAAGAGTCAAACTTTCTGCCCTCCTAGAGCTTACATTCAGAAGAGAAAATGGGGACTTGCAAACAGAAGGCATAGAAAGGCCCCACTTTTAATAGATACATATGTGCACATGTCTACGCATGTGTGCACATATTTGATGTCATCTGTTTAGAAAAATACATTAACCAGAATTTTTTTAAGTCACTGACTCTGGATGGTAAGAATAAGAACACTGTTCTCCTTTAACTAAATTTTCTAACTATTCTCATATATGGATACATTACTTACATAATATTTTTAAAAGCTTTTAAAAAAAAATTCTCATAGACAACTTGGCTAAGTTAGAAAATCTATCCATTCTCTTTTACCCAAGATTGGGAAATGTGCCTCCCTTACCTCATCATCTGGAGGCTCCTCAGAGGCCAACCTGAGCACAGTCTTGCACTGATCCACAAAGGTGCTTGCGACCAACTCAGCATGGTGTAAAAACACAGGGATGTCATCCTTGGTGAGTGGCTCCTCACTCGTTAGCTTGGCTATCATAAGGTCTAAGAGTGTAACTCTGCAAAACATAAAGGATTTCTGCATGAATCTGTGATACTTAAATTACACAATGCTAAAGATACCTAGGGAAGCAACTTTCAGGGAATATTAGCCTTTTAAATTCCTTACCTTGCTTATAATGTCCAGCTAGAAAAAACATTTTATGAATAAAGGTAATCTTCATCAATCACCTATTTTTTAAATTCTTAGTCTCTTTGATATGACTTGGCCACAGAAACTAGAATTGTTTAATTCACCTTTTATATCCATTACTTTCAACATTAAGTCAACATTTGAGAAATGCTCAGTTTTTTGTATAACCACATCCACAGTAACAGTAACAGCAACAGCAAAGTGAAATGGGTTAACATTTATCACTATTTTCTACTGAGCTAAGCACTGTATCATCTAATCCTTACAAAAACTCCATGAGGCAGGTACTGTCACTAGTTTCACATTAAAGATGGGTAAATAAGGCTTGGTGAGGTTAATTAACTTGTCCAGTGCCACAGAACCACTGAGAGTCTACGCCAGGATTCAATCTGTGCCTTGAGCCAGGCGCTTGAAGCATTCCTTTGACAGTCTTCATTGTGAAACTTTACTATTTGTTTTACTTTACAAAAACACAAATCTTAAGACCAAGACTGTGCCACTGTTATGTCAATATATAAATTACCAAATAAATATTTCTTTTCAACCATCTCTTTTCTTCTAGGAAAAATTAATAATACATAGGTCAATCTATCTAGCATAAATCAATTAGGACATCTGCTCAAAATTGTATTTTGATTTGGATTGTATGTATAATTCTCATTTATTTCTATAGAAGAAAGGGCGCGAATATCTAAACTGCTTATTAGCAAATAAAGGTAAATACACTCAAATTAGGCATGGAACATTTCTTACCAAGACAAAAATTTGAATTATTTACTGCTTCAAGTAAGGGAGAAAACTATACCAAATGCTTCCTGTACTGTGGCCAAGTGATGGGAAATATCATCAGTCTGGAAAAATCAACTACAGACCTTAGCAATTTTCAGAACTCCTAAAACCACAGATTGCTTGTGGCAATAATTAATCCAAAATAAAACAAATATACAGTTCACTCAGTTGTGCACAATATTAGAGAACTTCTGTTTTCCTTTATTTCCATATAATCTTTAAAAATAAACTGAGGCTGGCCGGGCGCGGTGGCTCAAGCCTGTAATCCCAGCACTTTGGGAGGCTGAGGCGGGTGGATCACGAGGTCAAGAGATCGAGACCATCCTGGTCAACATGGTGAAACCCCGTCTCTACTAAAAATACAAAAAATTAGCTGGGCACGGTGGCACGTGCCGGTAATCCCAGCTACTCGGGAGGCTGAGGCAGGAGAATTGCCTGAACCCAGGAGGCGGAGATTGCGGTGAGCCGAGATCGCGCCATTGCACTCCAGCCTGGGTAACAAGAATGAAACTCCATCTCAAAAAATAAATAAATAAATAAATAAATAAATAAATAAATAAATAAACTGAGGCTAAAAGTTCTAAAGCTTGAAATAAAAAGTCAACAGGTGCCAGAATGAAATCTCCTGAAAGCATAAAATGCACAGCTCAGTAACACAGTGGAGCACACAGAACATCTCGGGAACGATCAACATGATGGCTGGAACAGTACCTCACATCTCGGTATTAATGGTGAACATAAATCATCTAACTGCTCCACTTAAAAGATACAGATTGGCAGAATGGATTAAAAAAACTTACAAACCAAGTATTTGCTGTCTTCAGGAGACTCACCTAAAACATAAGGAGTCTTACAGAACAAAAGTAAAGGGGATGGAAAAAGATATTTCATGTAAATGGAAACCAAAAGCAAGCAGAATAGCTTCTCTTACATGAAATAAAATAGACTTTAAAGCAGTAACAGTTAAAAAAAAAAAAAAAAAAGACAAAGAAGGTCATAATACAAAAGGATCAATCCAACAAGAAGACAATCCTAAATATATATGCCCCTAACTCCAGAGCTCCCAGATTCACAAAACCATTACTAGATCTAAGAAAAGACAGACCACATGACAGGCCTCAAAGCAAGTCTCAATAAATTTTTTAAAAAGTAAAATATGGCCGGGGGCGGTGGCTCACGCCTGTAATCCCAGCACTTTGGGAGGCCGAGGCGGGTGGATCACGAGGTCAAGGGATCGAGACCATCCTGGCCAACATGGTGAAACCCCGTCTCTACTAAAAATACAAAAAATTAGCTGGGCATGGTGGTGCGTGCCGGTAATCCCAGCTACTCAGGAGGCTGAGGCAGGAGAATTGGCTGAACCCAGGAGGCGGAGGTTGCGGTGAGCCGAGATCGCGCCACTGCACTCCAGCCTGGGTGACAAGAGCGAAACTCCGTCTCAAAATAAATAAATAAAAATAAAAGGCCGGGCGCGGTGGCTCAAGCCTGTAATCCCAGCACTTTGGGAGGCCGAGGCGGGTGGATCACGAGGTCAACAGATCGAGACCATCTTGGTCAACATGGTGAAACCCCGTCTCTACTAAAATTACAAAAAATTAGCTGGGCATGGTGGCACGTGCCTGTAATCCCAGCTGCTCGGGAGGCTGAAGCAGGAGAATTGCCTGAACCCAGGAGGCGGAGACTGCGGTGAGCCGAGATGGCGCCATTGCACTCCAGACTGGGTAACAAGAGCGAAACTCCGTCTCAAAAAAAAAAATAAATAAAATAAAAAAGATAAAAAGCGAAATATATTGGCCAGGCATGGTGGCTCACACCTGTAATCCCAACACTTTGGGAGGCTGAGGCAGGCAGATCACCTGAGATCAAGAGTTCAAGACCAGCCTGCTGAACATGTGAAACCCCATCTCCACTAAAAATACCAAAAAAAAAACCAGCTATGAGTGGTGGTAGGAACCTGTAATCCAATTACTTGGGAGGCTGAGGAAGGAGGATCACTTGAACCTGGGAGGCGGAAGGAGGTTTCAGTGAGCCGAGATCACATCATTGCGCTCCAGCCTGGGCAAGAGAGCAACACTCAGTCAAAAAGAAAGCGGAGGGCAAGGGAGGGCAGGGGAGGGCAGGGGAGGGCCCGGGAGGGGAGGGGAGGGAAACTATATCAAGTATCTTCTCAAACCACAAAAGAATAGAAATCAATTCCAAAAGGAACCCTCAAAACTACATAAATACATGGAAATTAAATAAGTTGTTCTTGCATGATTTTGGGATCAACAATGAAATCAAGATGGACATTTTCAAGTTCTTCTAAATAAATGGTAACAGTGATAGAAGTTATCAAAACTTTTGGGATACAGCAAAAGCAGTGCTAAAAGCAAAGATTATAGTGCTAAATGCCTACATCAAAAAGTCGGAAAGATCACAAGTTGACAATCTAATATCATACCTCAAAGAACTAGAGAAACAAGAACACACTAGGCCAGGTGTGGTGGCTTACACCAGTAATCCCAGCACTTTGAGGGGCAGAGGCAGCAGGATTGCTTAGCCCAAAACTTTGAGACCAGCCTGAGCAACATGACAAAATACTGTCTCTATAAAATGTTAAAAAATCAGTCAGGCATGGTGGTGCATGCCTGTAGTCCAAGCTCTTTGGGAGGCTGAGATGAGAGAATCACTTCAGCCAGGGAAGGTCAAGGCTGCGGTGACTGTGCCACCACACACCAGTCTAGGTGACAGAGCACCACCCTGTCACAAGAAGAACAAGCCAAACCCCAAGCTAGCAAAAGAAAAGAAGTAACAAAGATCAGAGCAGAACTAAACGAAATAGAAACAAAAGATCAAAATACAAAATATAAAAGCTGGTTCTTTGAAAAATAAATAAAATCAATAGACCATTAGCTAGACTAACCAAGAAGAGAGAAAATTCAAATTAGCTCAATTAGAAACAGAAATGGAGACATTATGGCTAACACCACAGAATTACAAAAGATCATTAAAGACACCATAAACACCTCTGAGCAAACAAACTAGAAAATTTAGAGGAAATGAACAAATCTCTAGAAACATACAATCCTCCTGGCTTGAATCAGAAAGAATTAGGAGACCTGAACAGACGAATAACAACTAGTGAGATTTAATCAGTAATAACAAAAATTGCCAAAAAACAAAAAGCCCAGGGCCAGACAGATAGATGGCCAAATTCCACCAGACATTCAAAGAATTGGCACCAAGCATACCGAAACTATTCCAAAAGGTTGAGAAAGAGAGAATCCTATCTAACTCATTCTATGAGTTACTCATTCCAGTATCTCTGAAACCAAAACCAGGAACAGACAGAATAGAAAAAGAAAACCATAGACCACTATCCCTGGTGAACACAGGTTTAAAAACCCTCAACAAGATAACAGCAAACTGAATCCCACAGCGCATCAAAAAGGTAATTCACCATGACCAAGTGGGCTTCATCCTGGGATGCAGGGATGGCTCAACAAACACCAAGTCAATGCGACTCATCGCATAAACAAAATTAAAAACAAAAACCACATGATCATCTCAACAGATGCAGAAAAACATTCAACAAAATCCAGCATCCCTTTACAATTAAAATCTAGGCACAGAAGGAACAAACTTCAAAATAATAAAAGCTGATCTCATACTTAACGGGGAAAAGATGAAAGCATCGCCCCTAAGAACTGGAACGAGACAAGGATGCCCACTTTCAGCACTTCTATTCAGTGTAAGACTGGAAGTTCTATCCAGAACGATCAGGCAAAGGGCATCCAAACTGGAAAAGAGGAAGTCAAACTTTCTCTGTTTGCCAATGATATGATCACATACCTAGAAAACCCTAAAGACTTTACCTAAAAGACTCCTAGACTTGATCAGTGAATTCAGTAAAGTCAAAGGTTACAAAATCAATGTACGCAAATCAGTAGCAGTGCTACACATCAGCAATAACCACGCTGAGAAATCGAGAACAAAATGCCTTTTAAAATCGCTGCAAAAAAAAACAAATGCCTGGGAATATACGTAACAAGAAGATGTGAGACCTCTAAGAGGAAAGCTATAAAACACGGCTGAAAGAAATCACAGATGACATGACACAAACAAATGGAAATACATCCCATGCTCATCGACTGGAAGAATCAGTATTATTAAAATGACCGTATTGCCCAAAGCAATACACAGATTCAATACAATTGCTACTAAAATACCAACATCATTTTTCACACAATCAGAAAAATAATCCTAAAATTCACATCGAACCAAAAGAGAGCCCAAATAGACAAAGCAATGTTAAGCAAAAAGAACAATTCTAGAGGCATCACATTACTCCAACTTCAAATTATACTACAGAACTATAGTAACAAAAACAGCATTGTACTGATACAAAGGTAGATATACAGACCAATGGAACAGAATAAGGCCAAATACTTACAATCAACTGATCTTCCATAAAAGCATACAAAAACATAAACTGGGGAAAGAACCTCCTATTCAATAACATTTCTGGGAAAACTGAATTGTCACAGGTAGGAAAATGAAACTGGATCTCTGACCATACACAAAAATCAACTCGAGATGGATAGAAGATTGAAATCTAAGACCAGAAACCATAAAAATTTTAGAAGAAAACCTAGGAACAACACTTTATCACAGTGTCCAAGGCAAAGCGTTCATGAGTAAGATCACAAAAGCAAATGGAACAAAAACTAAATAAATGTGACCTACTTAAACAAAACTGCTTCTGCGCAGCAGAAGACATAATCATCAGAGTAAGCAGACAACCAACAGAATGGGAGAAAATATTTGCAACTATGCATCTGACAAAGAAGTAATTTCCAGAATCTACAAGGAACTTGAACAAATCTGCAAGAAAAAAACAAATAATTCCATCAAAAAGTGGGCATGACAAGAATAGTCATTTCTCAAGATACGCAAACGGCCAACAAACATGAAAAAATGCTCAACATCACTAATCATCAGGGAAATGCAAATTAAAACCACAAGATGCCACCTTACCCTGCCAGAATGGCCATTATTAAAAAGTTAAAAAAACAATAGATGTTGCCATGGATGTGGTGAAGAAGGAACGCATATGCAATGCTGGGGGAAACGTAAAACAGTATACATAGCCTTTATGGAAAAACAGCATGGGGGCTTCTCAAAGAACTAAAAGTAGATCTACCATTCAATCCAGCAATCCCGCTACTGGGCATCTACCCAAAGGAAAAGACACCTGCACATGTATGTTTATCACAGCACAATCCACAATTGCAAAGATAGGGAACCAACCTAAGTATCCATCAACTGATGAATGAATAAAGAAAATGCAATATATATACAGAATAGAATACTACTCAGCCATAAAAAAGAATGAAATAATGTCTTGTTAAGCAACTTGGATGGAGCTGGAGGCCATTCTTCTTCCCTTTTTTAGAGACAGAGTCTCGCTCTGTTTTCTAGGCTGGAGTGCAGTAGCGTGATCTTAGCTTACCGCAACCTGTACCTCCCGGGTTCAAACAGTTCTTATGCCTCAGCCTCCCCGAGCAGCTGGGATTACAGGCATGTGCCAACACGCATGGCTAATTTTTGTATTTTTAGTAGAGACGGGGTTTCTCCATGTTGGCCAGCCTGGTCTCAAGTGATCTGTCCTCCTCGGCCTCCCAAAGTGCTGGGATTACACGTGTGAGCCACTGCACCCAGCTGGAGGCCATTATTCTAAATGAAGAACTCAGAAATGGAAAAATCAAATACCGTACATTCTCACTTACAAGTGGGGCTAAGCTATGGGTACACAAAGATATACAGAGTAGTATAATGGACATTGGAGAGTCAGAGCAGGGAGGTTAGGAGGGTAAGGAATAAACACTACTTATCAGGTATAATATACACTAGTCAGGCCGGGCGCCGTGGCTCACACCTGTAATCCCAGCACTTTGGGAGGCTGAGGCAGGCAGATCACGAGGGCAAGAGACTAAGACCATCCTGGCCAATATGGTGAAACCCCGTCTCTACTAAAATATACAAAAATTAGCTGGGCATGGTGGCGCGCGCCTGTAGTCCCAACTTCTTGGGAGGCTGAGGCAGGAGCATTGCTTGAACCCCGGAGGCAGAGGATGCAGTGAGCTGAGCTTGCGCCCCTGCACTCCAGCCTGGTGTCTGGCAACAGAGCAAGACTCTGTCTCAAAAAGAAAAATATATATATACATATACACATACGAGTCAGGTGACAGGTGCACTAAAATCACCAACTTCACCACTATACAACTCATCCATGTAACCAAAAACCACTTGTATCCCAAAAACTATTGAAATTTTATGTCTATATAAAATATAGACATACCTATCTATACATATCTCTATCACAAGTAAATCTAACTACCTACATATATATACACATATAACTTTCAGGGAATGCTAAGAAAGGGGCCACCATGTGACCCAAATGCCTGCTCTAAAGATATTCCTTGTAAATTGGATTACATAATGCAGCAGTTACTGCTAGGTAGAAGTCAGGGTCCCCGGCTTCAGGGAATTTGGCACCTAGTTCACGATTACTTGAATAGGTAATGAAACAGAAAATAAGTTTATCAGATTTGTGAGTGTTAAGGTATCCACAGATAGGAATGCAGGGAAATGAGAAAGACAACAGATGGATTACAGCTGGGGAAAAGAACCCAACACCAGTGCAGATCATGAATCAGGGGCAGATCCCGAAACCGCAGTCCCGAGGTGAGGATAAGAAGGGTGGGCCCCAAGCGGGTGGAGATTAAAGTTGTTCAGCAACAATAGGACATTCCGGGGGTCCAAGCAGATGCAGCGCAAGGAGAGGTGCAAGTGCTGAGGAGAGGTGGAAGCACATGCTGCCTGCCTGACACAGAGACACCCAGGCAGCCTCCTCTGGCTCAACTTCTCCCTGGCCAAGCAGATGCCGCCTGTATGATGCAGCTTTATATGGTTACAAGATGAGAGATCTAACAATGTCGGTACTGAGTGATTTCAAAGGACAGAAGGGGGCAAAGTCAGAAATATAATATAAAATATATAAAAGTACAAACTAAGTTTGAGTACCACCTCAGAATACACTGTCCTTGGTTAAATGATCCTATTTAGATTAAGTCAGCTGCCATTTAAACCTTCTAATGGTTCCCATCACTCCCCCTACCTCTTCCTTGAAAATGTAACAGAATGCAAGTGCTCTAAGTAACCTAGCTACTCATTGACTCACTCACTCCGGTGTGAAGGATGCAAAAGGGGTTAGAGGCTAGCTGTCCAGAATTATTACACATCGGTGTGAAAGTCTTGCTCCTTTAACCCAGAAATCATCGTTCAGGCTACTTTGAGTTCACCAGACCCTTGAGTTCACCCTCCATGCAGAGCCATGCAGCCATAATTCTATCTCTCAACCACTGGCTGTCATTAGCATTCTATTTCGAACTCTCTCCTGATTAAACACAGTACTTACATAGTCTGCCTTAAAGTTATGATTCCTCCTTTTCTTTTTTTCCATGTGATGGAGTCTCGCTCTGCTGCCTAGGCTGAAATGCAGTGGTGATCTCGTCACACTGCAACCTCCACCTCCCAGGTAAAAGTGATTCTCCTGGCTCAGCCTCCCGAGTAGCTGGAACTATGGGCCTCAGAACTCCAGTATGGAAAACAAGAATAATACCTATTTCACAGTGTTTGTGAGGATTAAGTGACAAGGGCTACACGGTGACTTGCAGACATAACAGCGGTACTGCCTGGAGAAAAAGGCAAGGTCCTCAGCATAGCAGTAGTAGCTGGTACACTTGTAGCTGCGGTAACAGCAGTAACAGCACGGAAGCAGAACCAGCAATAGCTCACGTTACAGGTCAAGGTATTTGCCCTGGATTACAGAGGTACTGAGGTGGCATTTGAACTCTTTCTAATGCCAAAAAAAAAAAAATCAGTTACCACAACCATTCCAGGGGGTAGCTACTACTATTAACCTCATTAACTCGACCAAAGTAGTAAGTGGCAGCATCTATCCTTGACTACTGTGCTGTACATACAGATCATGAACCGGAAAACCACATGAGCTGTTTACCATGAGCAGCTAGTCCAATCTGTTAATACTCACTTCAATTCACCTGGAAGGGAGACCCGACAAGTATGCAAATGTAGGCTCTCATTTTTGCTGAATCATGCCACATGAATTAATGATGAGTCTATATCCAGAATTTCCCCAAGTAACCTGCCCAAATAGACTACCAGCCTCTAGGTGAAGAAGTCAACTAATTTTGACAACAATGAAAAGAACTAGCACAAGAAAAAAGCTTAAGAATTTACAAAGCACTTTCATTCCCGTACATAACAATGCATGGTTATTACCTCACATGAGGGCAGGGGCTGCGTCTCAGTAATGTTCACACACACTCACTTGCCCTCTCACTTCCCACCATGGGGTAACACAGCAACAAAGACCTCACCAAATGCCAGTGTCATGTTCTTGGACTCTCCAGCCTCCAGACTGCTAGAAGTAAGTTTCTTTTCTTTGTAAACTACCCACTCTCCGGTACTCTGCTATGGCAGCAGAGACCAGACTAAGGCAGCGGATGCATCATTTTACATTCCCACCAGCAGACACATCAACAGTGCACAGGTTCCGACTTCTCCGCATCCTTGCCCAGACTTGCTATTTTCAGTGTGTTGATGGTAGCCATCCTAATGGGTACCAAGTGGTAGATCCCTGTAGTTTGTTGTTTAATGGGTACAGAGTTTCTGATATACAAGAGGAAAAAGTTCTAGAGGTTGGCACGATGTGAACATACTTAACATCACTGAACTGTACATTAAAAAATGGTTACAATAACAGTCTGGCATGGTGGCTCACGCCTGTACTCCCAGCTGCTGGGGAGGCTGAGGTGGGAGGATTGCTTGAGGCCATGAGTTTAAGGCTCTAGTGCACTATGATCACATGTGTGAGTAGCCACTGCACTCCAGCCTGGGCAACAGAGCATGACCCTGTCTTTTACTTTTTCCATAAAAAGAAAAAAAAAAAAAAGGTTGTAATAGCAAACTTTATATTATGTGTGATTTACCACAATTTTTTGGCAAAAGCTATTGTCAAAATCTAGTCAAAGATTCCACAGGGTAAACCAGGGCTGCGACAAAAAAAGAGAATACATAAGATCTTGAGAGGGTCTTATGTATAACTGATAAGGTTTACTGACCAGCATGGACTAAAAAGTTAAAAGTGAAGAAGCTAAGGATAACCTTGAGGTTTCCAACTTAGCAGGTAATATTAATCAGTGTACTAGACGAACACTTTATTGAGAAAGAATATTCATTCATCCACTCATGCTTTCACTGGAAAACTTTTTTTTCTCTTTTTGAGCACCTGCTATGTGCCAACCACTGACTGGAAATGTGGAATGCAGAATAAAAAGGGATGAATCCTTGCCCTCAGGGCACCAACAGTCTAATGGAAATGTGCTACAATAACAAGCAGGTATGTGACACTACACGATGGATGAATGAGGTGATTAAATGACAGCCCATCTCCTCTGAAGAAAAATAAAGCAGGGGCAAGGGGAGGTGACAACTGAGCAGAACCTTGAATGAAGTAAGGACACACCTGATACAACTTTATCAATAAAAACAGAACATTTTTAGTCTGCTATCCCCATGCAGTTACGTAATAAATCATTAATTTAGATAGGCTATGGAAAATAATCAGCTTGACTATTAAAATGCAATGAAACTGCATTCTTCCTGTATTCAGTTGTTCCTTACTAGAAAAAGTTACTAATTTTTTGCACTGTGTATTGTATTATTTCTTTTAGGTCAAATAATTCTCTATCCACAAAGGGGATATATATATATAGAGAGAGAGAGAGAGAGAGAGAAAGAGAGAGAGAGAGAGAGAGAGAGAAAGAGAGAGAGAGGTGGAAAGAAGCACTGGAATTGGACTTATGAACTTGGTATTTCATATGACTTTAAAAGCATAAGCTTTTCCTTTTTGTTAAAGATATTAAAGAAGAAAAATGACCTAATTAGCAAAAGACAACAAAAAGTACATGAAGCTTAACTACTGCAACCTAAACACAAACTAAAAAGTCCAAAACCACTGAAACTCGTGACTATAATCAAAAGATTAACACCTTTACAAGATTCTGATCATTAGATCTGCAGTTTCTGAATAAAGATTATTTTCCTAAGGCAATATTTCTAATAAGGTAAGAAAAAATGTGTGCTACTGAAATGAAGAGTGTCCTACAAATTATTTTATCCAATCCCCTTCATTTACAGGTCAAGAAACTGAATCCCTTGTGCCTTACCATGGAGGTTTAGAAAAAAAATACACACACACACACACACACATACACAACTGAATCCCAACAAGGTCACATAAAGAACTATAATCATAGCAAGGCACAGGGCCAAAGTCTCAGAACTCCTAGGTCACTGCTTTTCCTACTACAGTAACTGTGACACTGTGGATGGGTATCCATTTTATTTTAGTCTGAATTATCCATCAAAAACCTACACACCTAGCAGAGTGCATCACAAATAATCATACCCATGACATAAACAAATAAGCACACCTCAAGTATGCAACTTAATACACAGCTACATAAATTACTATTCCAAAATCCAGGCACATGCATAAGATCTTGTTCTTAATGTTTTTCTTAACATGCATTTACTGAATAATGGCACCAACCTGGATTCTGCACCCCTCCATAAATCACTGCCTATTGTGGCTAAGCTATAATGTTAACCAACCAATTTAAAACCATTACCGACACAGAAACATGTATTTAGAGAGTCTGTGCCAACTCAGAAACCGCACAGCTTTTCAGTCCTGTGCACAGAATACCCTATATGGAATGCTAAATACTCAAAACCACGCTGGCTGGGGGATTACCTTTCTTGATTGTTCAGTTTGGGAAACATGGCTTGTACCAGCTCCGAGCTCTTCAGAAAGAGGTCTGTAATAATCAAGAACCTAGGGAAAAAGAGGAGGAGAGTCTGGTTACTAGGAACGCGGTAAGACCAACGGGCCCTTATCCACTTTATAAGCACAGCTTACACACAGAAGCATCTCTTTTCTGTGGATTTTTGATATGCTGTAATCGTAAATATTTTAAAAGGTTCACATATTATTAATCTATTAGCAGCTAAAAGGAAAATAAATCTTAAAAATATTTTTCTCCAATTTTTCTTCTGAAAGCTTTATTGAAATAATTTAAATTGACTCAACTAGAAGACGGGGCTACTATAGCTTTTATCTAAGTTGAGAAAGAAAAATTCTTCACTTAGCAACAAGATCAAGTATAAACAAAAAGCATACTAAATTGTTTTACTCAGAAGCTAACTGCTATAATGAACTAGAGAAAGACTTGTCAGACTTCCCTTTAAACACGTGCCAACAACACAGTGATGAATACTGGCTTGATTATTCACCTTTAAGAATTCTCGAGTTACCAAGAAAACACTCTCATTGTCAAGCTATGCACTCATCTAAACTTAGAGATCAACTTATGGAAAGCCCAAGGCAAAGATTATAGGCATAGTTCTTCAAAGTACCCCTGTGACAACTAAGGAGACTGAACAGTATTATTAATTAATTCTGAATTGTATTTACCAGAGGACATCTGAGGGAAAGCCTGAAGAACGAAGGAAGATACCGCTTATAACCAGGTTATAGTAATAAAAATTGTAAGCATGAAACACACTGACACATAGTTGAACCGCTTGTTAACAAGTAAAACACAATAAAACTATATTCAGGGTTATAACCAAATGAAGCACCTTAACTACTGCAATACACTGTCACTTAACATAAAAGTAAAATCCAAATACATGTTCTATTTCCTCTACAGCATTTACAATAGCTGATCAACACTCTGATGTAAAACATTCCTAACAATAATGGATGATACTTGAAATTCTCAAACCGTATTCCTATCAATCTGTGCAGGCCAACAGAAATCCGTGCGTTCCAAGCCGGATACACAAACTAAATTGAGATCTTAAAGCTCATTCATAAGTCAGGTACTTAAAATTCAAAGCATTTTCCCATAGGAACATCAAAAACACAATATTCCAAATCACAAGTCATACTTCCAAATAATAAATACCCATTTTTAGACAGATAATTTACAGAAGAACATGTTAAATGCTGGCAGACACACACTAAGAATGATATAATAGAAACAAATATATCTAACCAACAGTCTGGGGGCGAGAGGGGGCGATGGACAGGGGGTGAGAAGATCAAAGAGGCTGGAGGAGCTGCTTTGTCAATCCCTAGGAGAAGGAAAAGAGAACAGCACTCCTAGAAAAGGAAAGAAAGAACTTAGAAAAACAGCAAGAAGGAAAGAGCAGCTGTGTGTCTGGGGAACTATAAGCAACAAAATACTATTAGGGCTTCAAAAGGAAGCCAGGATTCCAAAGCACGGGTCTCCACAGTGTCTCGGGTAAAGAAAGTTGCTTCAGCCAAGATTTGAGTTTACTGAAGACTGAGGTGGTAACTACATATTCTTTCATAATGCTGGTAATTAGTGCTCTCTTTTTTCTTGATCAATTTTGTTAACGAAAAGACCGCTTTTGCCTTTGTGAATTTTTTCCACTGTTTTTGTCTTAGGTTTCATTGATTTCTTACTTTTATTTCCTTCTTTTCCTTCTTTTATTTCCTTCTTTCTTACCCAGGACTTACTATCCTCTTGTTTTTCTATCCTCTTACAGTAGAACTGTGGGTCACTGATTTCAGACCTTTTTTTTTTCAATTGTACTTTAAGTTCTGGGGTACATGTGCAGATCTTGCAGGATTGCTGCATAGGTACACACATGCCATGGTGGTTTGCTATCTCCATCCCCAGACCTTTCTTTATTAATCGAAACATTCAAGAACAGTGGCTCACACCTGTAATCCCAGCACTTGGAAGACTGAGGTGGGTGGATTACCTGAGGCCAGGAGTTTGAGACCAGCCTGGCCACATAGCGTAGTGAAACCCCATCTCTACCAAAATCGTAAAAAAATAGCTGGACGTGGTGGTGCATGCCTGTACTCCCAGCTACTCAGGAGGCTGATGTATGAGAATCGCTTCAACACAAGAGGCAGAGGTTGCAGTGAGCCAAGATCGTGCCACTGCACTCCAGCGCAGATAACAGATTAAGACACTGTCTCCAAAAAAAAAAGGAAAAAAAAGCATCCAAGCAGCAAACTCTCCTCTAAGCGCTGCTTTAGTTTTTTGTTGTTGTTTAAGAGACCGGGTCTCACTCTGCCACCCTAGCTGGAGTGCAGATGTACGATCATAGCTCACCGTACCCTCAAACTTCTAGGTTCAAACAATTCTCCCACCTCAGTCTCCGAAGTAGACAGGACCACACACAGGTGCCACCACACTCAGCTTTTTTTTATTTTTATTTTTTTGGTAGAGACAGTGTCTTACTATGCTGCCCTGGCTGGTCTTGAACTTCTGGCCTCAAGCCATCCTCCCTTCTCGGACTCCCAAAGTGCAGGGATTACAGGAATGAGCCACCACACTGGGCTGCTTTTCCTTTATCCCACAAAACTTGATACTTAAAAGTATTTTCTAATTTGCCTGTGATTTCTGCTTTGACAAATCAACTACATGTGCTAATTTCCAAAAGTTTGGAATTTTTCTAGAAATCATCTTACGGGTAAAAGAAAGTACTCTATGATTTCAGTCCCTAGCACATCTACTGAGCCTCTTCCACAGCCCAGCCTATGGTCTGCCTTGGTGAACATGACATATGGAGGTGAAAAGAAAGTAGAGTTTGGAAGTGCTGAGGGAAGGTCTACAAATATCACTCAGGTGAAGGCGGCAACCTACCGCAGTACTACCGAGATCATCTAGATCAGGGGTGGCCAATCTTCTGGCTTCCCTGGGCCACACTGGAAAAAGAATAATTGTCTTGGGGCACACATAAAATACACTAACACTAACAATGGCTGATGAGCTTAATTAACAACAACAAAAATCACATGTTATAATAAAGTTCACAAATTTGTGTGGCGGCACAGAGAGCCTCCATCTCAAAAAAAAAAAAGTATCAGATGGCTGGACACAGTGGCTCACACCTGTATTCCCAGCACTTTGGGAGGCCAAGGTAGAAGGATTGCTTAAGGCCAGGACTTTAAGACCAGCGTGGGCAACATAGTGAGACCCCCATCTCTACAAACTAAAAAATAAATCACCTGGGTATGGTGGTATGTACCTGTGATTTCAGCTTCTGAGTGGGCTGAGGTGGGAACATCACTTGAGCCTGGAAGATTGAGCCTGCAGTGAGCCATGACTGCACCACTGCACTCCAGCCTGAGTGAGAGAGACTCCGTCTCAAATAAATAAAAAATAAAGTACCACAAGCAGAGTCCAAATACAAAAACAGAAAAATATGTGTATTTTATTTTATATGAAGGATAATATCCCTAATCTAGAAAATACTGCTATACACTGATACAGATCAACATCCCAATAGAAAACAGGTAAAGAAAATTAGAAGACATAGAAAAGAAAAGAAAAGAAAAGGTTCTCCAACTCATAAGAAAAATACAGAATTAAACCGTGCAAGGCTGACACCTTGGCAGAACTGGCAAATGCAAAGCTTGCTCCCGCTGTTAGCAATGTTTTTTCTGTTTGTTTGTTTGTTTGTTTTTTTAGGGTCTAAAATAACAGTTTATTGTTTAAAAAATTATTAAGAAATTCAAGAGAGTGACAGCAGAACATTAAAGCAAGCGTGGGCCCTCTTAAGTGTAGAACTCTCTGTGACTGCACAGGCCACTCACCCATGGCACTGGCCCCGCTACGAAGCCAGCCTTACCTGAACCTGAATTGTGGATTTGCCACTTACTAGCCATGCGGTCTTGGACAAGTCAGCTGTAAAATGGGAATAGTAACAGTCCCTACATCACTTTCTTAAGATTAAATATTATCTGAAAAACACTTACAGGCTCAGGGAGTGGACACTGGCACAACAGCTGAGGGACAACCTGGAAGTGTTGTCAAAATTATAAAAGTACATTCCTTTTGACCCAGTAGTTGCACTTGTGAACTTATCCTACAGTCACACTTGTCCACAAGCAATGTGACACGTGCAGCCAAGGCTAGTCACAGCAGGGTTTTCTAGTCACACTCTGAATGCCCATCAAGAAGGGACTGATTTTTAAAACCCTGGTATATTCATACATTGAAAGTCTTCAAATGAGGAAGGTCTTTACATAAGAATATGGAAAGATCTCAAAAATCTACTATTTAGTGAGAAAAGCAAAAACCCAACAGTGTGCAGAGAAGCAGGAGATATGGTCGGAGGAACCAGGTAGAGGGCTGGGGGGCAACTATGCATTTTGGTATTTGAACCATATATCGTCTACCAAAAAAATCAGTATGTAATTTAAGCAATATATACAGGCAAAGTAATCTGATACTTAGTTCTATTTAATAACCATCCTCCTAAAGAGGGACATTATTTCTGCATCTTGGTGGAAGCATCATTCAGACGAACCTGGCTCCTCAGGCTTCCAGGATGAGGGGCGGTCACGTCGGAGAACTAAGTTTAGTCTTAACAGTGGCTATTTTTGGGCAGGAAAAGTTCAGTAATTTCTCCAAAATAACTTAAAAATTTATATATCTTCTCAAACAACATAAAGTGAAACAGAAGGAAAAACGAATCCACTTCACTTCTCTATCACAGGCAACTCAGTGACACAATTTTTCAGGTAATCTAAAATCTAGGTCAAAGTCTGGTCCCTAAAACGTAGCCTTCACCACTTCTTTGCAAAGAGTGCTGTAAACACAAATCACATCACAGCCTAAACACTGCCAAAATAAGTATCTTTTCTCACAATCCTAATGCCGCTCCCCCTCCCCGACCCCCAGCCCCTCTTCCCACCTTTTGCTCAGGTCCCATGGTCTCAGAAGGCATCCTTCCCCGCAGACCAGGTGAACTCCTGCACAAACATTCCCCTGGCACTCTGTGCTT